AACCTGAACGAGACCTGGGATGAGTTCGTGCTCTCTACAACTAAAGAATGAATTTTAGGAACAGAGGAAGTTAAGAACAAAATCTGTTTACTTGGGAATGAAAGCCTCTGTCAGAAAGAGGGACAGAAGGGGACCTGAGTGGGTTACCAAGTAATCTGCCTTTTATAGGGATTTTTATAGAGCAAAACCATAAGAGGCGGGCGGAAGGTAGCAAATGTGGGAACTCACACATGAGGTGGGACAGAACTATTGTGGACCAATAAGATTGCAAGTACAATTGCTCAGGTAAAATTGATTAAATCAGGATCAAATGGGGAAACGACTCAAGTAGCAAAGGGGACATGAACAGGAAACAGGGGCTCTTTCTGTGGGGGTTGGGTCAGTGACTTCCTTGGCTCATTCAAGGTGAGTGATACCTATGTAGAATACCAGTCCCTAGTGTCCATCCCTAGTGGCTGCCTTTGCTTATTCTTTTGTCGAGAGGTCTAGCCCACAGTGGAAGTGCTTGCCTCTGCCACAGCCGCCAGGTTATCTTGTCCTCCATCTTGTCTCCATCTGAGGGCCTAGCCCCATCTGCTGCCTATTATGTTTCTATGTAATTCAGCTGCCTACAATAATCTTAATAGGTGATCATGGAAAGCTCTGCTAGAAGAAAAGGTAAAGACTATCGTTGGCCCAGTCTCTCTCTCCACTCTTGTACCCTCTCTTCCTGTGGTTGTTTGGGTCTTTGTAAGTTGAAGGCGGGGTGAGGTGTGGTGAGGCATCAATGAACGACTCTGAGCTTTAGCTTCTCTCAGTAACTGGAGAAAGTGCCTGGGACCTCCTTCCAATCTTCTCTTCTCGGGGGGGGGGGATCCTTTGTGCCTGGCCTTCTGGCCACCAGACTCCCGAAATAATGTACTTGGAGAGGGTTTCTGAGCCGGACCCGGAGCTTGTGGTAAAGCAGCAGCTGCTAGCACATCTATCAGCTTTCCTCGCTGGAGGACAGCTCTGCCCGCGGCCTGCTGCACACGGTGTGTTTGCCCTGGCACCCGGAATTTCAGCTGCGTTTATTATCCAGGTGCCAGAGCTTTCAAAACAAGGGTGGAAGTGTTTTGGTACTAGTTTTGGTTACAAAGCAGTATGCACCTGCCCAGGCTCCCACTCAGCAGGCTGACTGCTCAGCCTTCTCCCGCACTCCTCTTCCTCCTTTTTGATAGCCCAAATCCTTGTGGCTTGGCTGGGACATCGGCGCGGCCCCTTCCCTGTCTGGCCTTAGGATGATCATGGCTCTGAGTTAGCTTCCCTTCACGGTTTCATGATGTTCATGGTAAGTCTGTAGCTTGGAATTTGTTTCTGAGTAATTTCAGGAGCAAAAATACAAAGCAAACAACGTACAACCGTCACAACGCATCCTTTGGAGTGCTGAGTCTCAGATGTTAGGTTACCTAAGTGTCTTCTGAGGCATTTGTTTAAAACTTAAAGTTCTGTCTCCACTTGGGGGAATTGTTGCTCAGTGGATCAGAGACCATAAATCTGTATTATCATGTTATCACCAAATCCATTTCTTAGCTAATCACACCTAGATAAACTTGGGTGAAGAGGCACAGTTGAATCCTTTGTTCTTGTATATGTGCCAAGACTGGGTGAAAGCCATGGCTGCACCCTGTCCAGAGTCTAGCTTCGTGCCCAGTGCCCATGTGTGACAGGCTGTCTGCAATGTGAAATGAGTCCCCTCCTAAAGAAGCATTCGTAGACCTGGCCCTAGCTCA